ATAATTTCGAGATTCTATTTATTATAGTATAATAAATTATTAAATGTCAAATATGCGAAATATACCTTTCTCACTAATATTTGGTTCAAAATTCGAATCAAGTTTATGATGTACCAATGCAGTTTTTACTGTAGTGTTATTAGAAGTAGAAGTAGTAGTATCAGAATATTAGTAATATCTCTGAACTGATTATTTTTATCACTATTATTTTCTACTCTCATTCCTAGAAGAAAAATGTAAATTAAATATATCTTTTTTTGCTTATAATTATATACTTTTAGATTAATAGCTGCTACAAATATTAAGTTAAAGTATATCAAGAAAAAGTGCAAATAGAATTTTAAAGTTGTTTTATGTACTTTTTTAATATTAATTATCTTTATTATAAATATTTTCTTAAAAATGTTTTTAATGTATTTTTTATTACAAAACGTGAATAATATTATAATATTATACAATTATTTTATTTTTTACTTACTATCGCTTGATTCAATTTGTTCAGTTGGGATATCAGGGTACATTACATCATCTGAAGATATTTCTGTTTCAGAGGATGATGCGGGTTCACTATCAGATTTGTTATAGCGTTTTCTAATTTTCTTCCTATTACGCTTACATTTATCTTTTAATGCTTCATTATTGGAGGAAAGATTATTTGTATCTCTTGCTTTGTTAGCTTTCTGTTGCGCTATTTTATAGTTGTCTATAAAAAAAACATATTTTAAATAAATAAGTTATAATTCAGTTAAAATTAATTATAAAAATAATAAATTTATGCAAAGTCTGTGTTTCTATAGTTAAAAATAAATTATCAAAATAGGAACGATGAATATGATTTTTATTTATGTAATATAGTTGCTACATAAAAATATATATAAAGAATTTGCGAAATATAATATTGTGTGTGTGTATATATATATATATATATATATATATATATGTATATAATTTTAATAACATATTATCATTTTTATTATTTGTGTAGTGAGTGTGCAGACACATGTGTGTATAATACATATTTACACATATATACGAACAACTCGTGCAGTGAATTGCTTACGTGAATATTAGTATTATAAATAAATTATATACAATTAATTTTTTGGGGGGAATATGCAAGGAAGAGAAGAATAAATTGAAAAAATTAAATAAAGAAGATTTATTTATATATTGATTTATTTTGTACTCTTGTTTTGTACTTTCTTTTACAAAATTAAAATTAAAATTAAAATGTATTGTGTACTATATGTGTCTATTGTTAAAAAAAAAACATTTTTATTTATTGATATGTATTGAATATAAAAAAAACATGTGTACAAAACATGTGTATAATACAAATCAATATTTGTTTTATGCACATGTTTTGTACCATGTTTTTTTATACTCAATACATATCAATAAATAAATATCTTTCAAAACGTTTTTCTTTAAAATGCTTAGTTTTTGAAAGAAAAGGGGTGTACGGGTGGTATAGGACACCCTGTATATGGTAATGAAACTTTTTATATTGCAATCGAACTCAATACAAGTATCACAAAGAAATATAATAGTATCATAATGTAATCAAAACTTTGTCAAACATATTCGAATCTTTTATGAGTACTCAGAAAAACAGTAACAAAACACGAACATCTACGTGCAATCGGAATTCTAGTGTGTACATTCAAGGGTAGGAATGGTGTCTCTAGGCGGCTAGATGTATATGTGTATGACAGCCAAAAGCGGTGTCCAGCCAGCGCGGTGTCCTATAACTGTCTCACCCGCACTCCCTGCATTCAATTGGAGTGAGTAAGACAGATATCTTCTTCTTGTGCAATACTCGATTCGAGCGTACGCTATCCCTCTACATATATCTACGGTGTGCGCCGTTCCGCAAACATATGGGACCTACAATTTAACGCCGGTTCCGAACGGCCTAGATTTGTGAGAGATTTTACCAGGCAAGATATACTCTCGGTGGTTTGCCATTGCCTTCCGAGAGATGGCGATCGCGAATTATCGAAATAATTTGATGTGTTTTCTGGCTCTGGCTGGATTTGAACTCGAGCCCTTCAACACAGAGAACAGACGCACAGCTCTCCGCGCCACGATCGCACACGAGACAGATATAGGATACCATTAATTAACATCACGTCTTATATTGCTTTCTCTCTCGATCATATGACTTGCGATAAGAATGCAACATCGGAATGCCTCCCACTTTTTTCTCCTTCACTGCTTGATCTTCTTCGCGCTTCAAGTGATACGTATACATACATACGCGATCTGTGTGTATGCGTGATACTTTCGGTTGTCATATACATATACACCTAACCGCCGAGGGACACCATTCCTGCCCTTGAGTGTACACATCTGCATACAAAATAATATCTCTGATATATATGTGCACACATTTTGAAATTTCAATTGCATATAAAGAATGTTGTGTTTCGAAGTACTTGTAAAAAATTCGAGTATATTTCATAAATTTTCAGTTACAATTTGATATTAGTACCAATATGATTCGTTATTATTATTATTCATTGTTCGTAATTTGTTTCATTCATAATTGTATGAAGTTTTTTATATAATTACATTAAATACATATGTTTTTTTTATAAATATTTTGAAAGTATTCAAAAGTTTCATGAAATGAATGGGCAACACTTTGATTATCTTATTAAATTTTGAAAGTTTTCATGAAATGAATGGGCAACACTTTGATTATCTTATTAAATAAAATTAATTCATTTTGTTTGAAAAATTATTATTTTTATTACTTATCTACTATTCTTCCTGTTTTTCTAAATTTTTTCATTTCAAGGTCACCCCACGATCAAAGTGTTATAGATCGTTGGATTTGTCTTTTCATCCACTACAATTATAGCTGATTAAAGACTTCCCATTTAAAAAATTTGAGATAAACATCAAAATTTTTTGACGCCTCCATATAAAAAAAAAAAACTAAAACTACAAAACTACTAAAACTACAAAAATATCGCCCTTTCAGAATTATCTAACTGTTATCCTAAACGTTTTTGTATCAAATGAATATTTATGAAGATATTTGAGAAGGCAGTTTTTAATGATTTACCCTGTATATTGTAAGTGTAAGATATACATATATGTAATATGTAATGATGTATATAGCCCCATATTTTTCCATATTTTTTAATCTTCTTCAAACTCCACCTAATAAACTCCACCTAAAAAAAAAGACTAAAACTACAAAAATGTAGCCCTTTCAAAATTATCTAACTGTTATCCTAAACGTTTTTGTATAAAATGAATATTTATGAAGATATCTGACCCATAGACCTATATGTTTCCATACTTTTTAATCTTCTTCATCAGCGCTGAAACCTATGAAATCATATACGCACCAAAATACCTTGTTGGGAAAAATTCTGAAATCAAAATATTTTTATTATAGAGAATATATACAGACAATAATAATATGATCGTAATACAATGGCATTCACATTTATTAACAATTTATGAATCGCTTTGCAGCTTATTAACATATGTAATGATATTTTGAAAATATATTATGCGTATTTTTTTTTAATGATAGAATTTTTATTTGCGCGATTTACCTTATTAAATATAATATCAGCTGACAACTTGAAGGTATACTTTTTTCTTTGAAATTTTGTCTTTGCGCATCGATTATCAGTGAAGCTGCTTTCTGCGGTGTAAGCTCTATCATTATACTTGGAAATCTATTATTGACAAGTAAAATAAAATTATCTATCAGCAATAATTATTATAAAAATATCTTATTACTTTAATGTATAATAATTTTGATGTGTGTGAGTAATATAAGATCTATGACAATAAGAAACAATTTTCATGACAATAAGAAGAAGTAGTTTTCTATACGCTAATTTATAAAATGTATGAATAAAATTATAACTTTATAAATTTACACATCATCACTATTACGAAATATTAATTACAATTCGTCAATTTTATATCATTATGTAAACATACCTTATTCTTGTCTTTTTGGCAAATCCAGTAAGTACTAGAGCCGGATAAACAGTAGTGAATTTAATCAAGGATTTTCCTTCGCTATATGTACGCAATTCATCGCTGACAGCTTCCATAAGTACTGTAACACGCACATGAAGGAAATATTAGAAAACATGCTCTGCAATTATATCTTTTTTATACTTTGAATATATGCGCATAATGTTTGTCGATTTACTATGAACATTAATAATCATGTGCTTTACACACGTAAGATTATGATAAGATTAAATTACCTTTGACCGCGGATTTTGTGGGGCAATAAACCGTACCATGTGTAGCGCCCTGATATGCTACTAGTGATGAGATCGCCACAACATGACCGCGATTCTTTTCAATCATACTTGGTAGAAACGCTTGCAACGTCTAAAATTAAATTTTATTTGAGAACAATTTGCGGAAGTTTATTACGAATATATATGTGAGTGCGTGTGTATGTGTAAGTGTATGTGTATTTAGTTTCTTAAATTTATTTCAATTGTAAATATAGTAAATTAATTGTCAGCGCGTATCTCTTTTTTTTTAAATAATATAAATTACATTGCCGATTATAATTATATATATATTGTTGTGCCTCTCCAGGTACAACGGGAATTTTGAGGATGATCCAAGGGTTCGGTTCGTCTTAGGAGTTGGGACTCCGAGTGTCGAGAAACACGAGGCAGAGATTCCGTGCAAAAAGATTTATTTGTACAGCTTACGTATCGTAGAGTTCGGTTTGGTGATGCTTCGGCGATGTAACAATGTCGGCGTTTACAGAATCTCACAGTTTCTTCAAGTATACGCGTCACCACTTAGTTTCGGAATACGGCCCCGAGGTACTCGTTATCTCTCTTTTTATGGTCCGAAAGTAGGTGATTTTTCGGTACTAGGTCGCGATGTCTTAATTGCATATTGCAACGAATTGCATATCTTGCATTTAATCGCGGTTTTGGGAGCGCGCGCAACAGCTTACGAAGTGCTGAATTTGAACTGTGCTCCTTTTTTACTTTTATAGGTCGTAATTACATTATTCGATTTCGAGTTACGACAATAGTCTTTAGTGAACCTTAAACTATGAGAAAACAAGGCTAGTTGCTGAAAAAAAAATTTTTGGTTACCAAGAATAACAAGATTTTGTGGAGAAGTCAAAGTACCCGGTTTTGTTCTACCGTAATGTGGTAATGGTCCTAGGGTAATGTGTATAAAAATATTCAATATATGTATAAAAATATAAAAATGAAAAACGAAAATTAAAAATATAAAAATATAAAAATGAGAA